ATTGAATTTGAAGTCTGGTAATTCTATAGGAATTCAGAAACTGCCATTATAAAAAGATCCGAATGGTATTTAATTGGCGAAAATTAGAAGATATTGGTCAAACGATGAATAAATATCATGAATTTGGTTTGTTAGAGCAAATAGTTAGCTAACATGTACCATGCAGTGGCATATTTCAGCAACTATTTGTTCTGGCAGAACAAATTACTCATCGCATAATTCAATATCAATGCTATTGTGTGATTATGATACATGCTTTATAAGTCATTATTGGCTAACTGAGTTTAATTCGAAACTGTTGTGTTTATGTAATTATATTTATTTAAATAAATATTAAATAACAATAATATTTTTAAAAAATATTAAGTAACAATTATTTATAAATAAATATTAAATAACGATATAATAGTGATTTAAAACAATTCTTCTAAATTCTCTCTATAGCTAAAGTGAAATATTAATACATGTGATCAAAATAATCTTTTATTAAAAGTTGCTTATTACTACTATGAGCATGAAATATTAATGAAACGAAATATCTTGGCAACTTGGCTTGATTGAATTTTAAAGCCTTAGCCAACTTTGAAATCTAATATTTATAGTTTAAATTTTGCCAAAAAAAAAAACTGTTATCGGGCCTTCAATTATATTTTGTACCAGAATATTCTCTAACAAATTAAATAAATTATATTTGGTACAAAAATAAAATTAAAAGCCCAATAACAGATTTTTTTTTTTGTAGCACTTATATGTATATATATATTAATCATATTATCTTGACAACTACTATACTAAATTCGATAAAAAATTTTTTATTTAAATTTTACAGATATGTAGAATTTTGAATAAAAAATTTTTATTGAATTTAGTATAGTAGTTGTCAAGATAAAATATGATTAAAAGTTTAGACACAAAATATAATTAAAGCCAGCATGTGGAGTTTTTTTAATAGTATTTATATATAGTATTAAAGTTATTTAAAATTTATTTGTTTTTAATTGATGTTTTAAATTGTAATTTTAAAATTTTAATATTTCTAATTAAATATATAGTTTCGAAAAAATATAGCTATATATAATTATAATAATAAATAAATTTATTTTGGTTTAGAATATATTAAATTTTTTTTTACTGTAATTACTTATATTATATATAAAGATTATTTTGAATTATATCAATAAATCATTTTTAAATTTATTAAATTTAAATTTTTTTACAAAACTTTATTACAAAATTTTTATTATAACTATGCCTAAACAAAAAACCAACCAAGGACCTTGTTCTATTCACAATTGTGACAAAGAATCTACAATATTTAGAAGTTTATCTGATAATGCTTTTGCAAAAGCATTAGCTACAGGAACTCTTCGACAATATTTATATTTGCAAATAGATCAACAAATTTGTAATACTCATTATATGGAAATTGTTGAAAATCCTTAGAATAATTTTAGAAAAATTATCAAAATAATATTAGTTCAGATAATATTATTGAAAATAATAATTCTATTAGTAAATATTTAAATTTTATTTAATTATATAAGGGAACTATCACTTATTATATAATTATAACTCTCTTCAGAGTCAGTTATTTGACAATTACAAGTTTTAAAATAATTATAATATAAATTTTATATGATTAGTTATTTTAGAGCTTATAGTTGTCAAATAATTAATTATTTTAGAACTTATAATTATTAAATAACTAATTTTTAAGGAGTTATAATTATATAATAAATGACAGTTCTGTAAAATTTTACTTATAATTTATACAAATATATAAATCGGTACAAAGAGAAAAAAAATTTATAATTTATAATTTAATTATTTTTAGATCCATTATCGCAATTATTTCTTGCTGATAAAATAAAAAAAATGACAACTATAATATATAATAGACAACGAAAAGAATCAGCTATTCTTATACTTGATCCTAATAATTTTAAGAAAATGCTTGAAGAATCTGATTCTGATTTGATTGGATTTTTTGATGAAATGTGTAAGATTATAATACCATTTAATTGAGCTTTAAATTTACAAAAAGATACTAAAAAAAAAGTTGTAGTAATTCTTTATTTAATTGCTGATCTTCATAATATGCATGCTAATTAATTTAAATTGGAGCTTAGATTATATCTTGCAGCTTGTGGAGCATTTTGTGAAACAATTAATACTTTAAGCAATGCTGGAATTTCTGTTACTAATAAGACAGTTTATAATAATAATAAAAAAATTGCTGCACAATATCTATTAAAAGTTGAAGAATATTTTATTAAAAATGTAAGTAATTTTTTTAAATATTTAAAATAAAGCTATATAACTAAAATTTTTATATATTATTTTTAAATAATATTTTGATATATTATTTTAATTTAATTATTAGAAAGATTCACTTTGTATATATAATATAGACAATTATTATAATATTCATAAAAAAAGAAGACCAGATAATACTAATTTATCAGAAGCAGCTTATTTAGCAACAAGTATGTGCAAAAAAATTGAGCAATGTGGACCAGTACCAGTAACTTTTAATGGTATATCAGTTCATAATCCAGTAAATATTGATGCATTAATTACTTGTGAACAACTTATTAATATGTATCAAGGGCTTTTTGATCTTTCTTATACACAATGTAAAATATAATAGGCTAATACAAAGCAATTTGAAAGTTTTGAATTTGATTATATTGATCAACTTACTATACATTGTTATGATAATGCTATTGCAGAAAGAAAAGAAGAAAGATAAATGAAAGAAACAATATTAATTGGAATTAAGGAACAACTACTTCATTCTATGCAAGATTATTTAGAAATTTTAAATATAATACTTAAATATAAAAAAAAAACAAATCATTTAAATAATTATATTACTTCAGTAATTGCAAATTGGTCAGGTCAATTATTTATTAGAAGAGCTATTACACATTTGCATAAAGATAATTCAAAAGTACAAATTCTATCTGGAATAAATTTATTTGTTTTTATTCTTGGACTATTACATGATAGTCTTAATAGTAGAGAGCAAGTTATAAAAGTTTATTATAGCTTTTTTAAAAAACTATTTCATAATATATTTGGATTACGTAAAAAATTTGCCAAAAATCAAAGACCATAGAGAATTAATTTACTTTTGGAATTAACATAAAGTGCATAGATTAAAATTAAAAGTTTAATATTAAAAAAATTTGGATCTTTATACAAATTTACTGAATATCAAACATTAATTGATCTTTTAGATAATATTATTCCAGCAGTACTTGATATATATGCAATATTATTTAGATCTGGATTATTTAATGAATATCTTGAAACAATTTTTCGTATTTGAACTTTTGCTTTAAGATGAAAAAGTAAAAATTATAACAAAGCTCCACTAGCATTTTTATCAGATATATTTTATTGGGAACAAAATAATCATTCTATAAAAGAAGCAATTAAGCTTTTTTTAGTTAATTTTAATGATTATTGGATTGAAAATATTCATAGCAGGATTAGAACATCAACAACATGCAAAGATAATGCAAATGATATTTTAAAACAAGCATATTTATTAGATATTTTAAAATTTAATAATTATTAGTAATTTTAAAATATATAGATACTAATAATTATATTTATTACTAGATGCTAATAAACATTCTGCATTTAAAGAAGTATTTACAAATACTAAACATTATCTGTATTCATCATCTGAATTGGATTTTTTAACTAACAAAGCATGTTTATTTTTACTTTAACAATTTCAAAAAGTTTTTGAAAAATATCAAAAAAAATTAGAAACTGATGCCTCATTATTTATAACAAAACCAAAACCAAAATCAAAAAAAGATAAAAAAGATTCAAATATTGAATTTATTACTATAGATGATATAGATGAAAGAGTACTACCAGCAGGATATCATACTACATATCCACCTATTTTTAATAGTTATGATCATTGTTATAAACCATTTGAGCAAAATTCTAATAGAATAATTTTGATATGTGGTCATGGATATCATTGAAATTGTTATAATCAAATAGAATTCAAATGCAAACATTGTATACAATATTTTAAAGAAGGAATATGGAATAATGTAAATGCATTTGTAAAATGTTTAGAAGCAGAAGATAAAGATAAACTTACTAAAGAAGATTTAGAAGATGATGATGAAGATGAAAATAAAGAAGATGATACAAATAATTCAATAGAAGATGCTAAAAATATTGAAATTAATAAAAAAGAAAAAATTGAATTAGATTTACAAAATGCAATTAGCAAAATAAATACTTGGTAATTTATTTTTTTAATATAGAATTGTTATAAATATATTGTAGATTTGATATTATAATATGTTTTTTAACTATATTTATTAATAAATAAAATATTTTATTTAAATTTATATAAGATCTTTATTTATACATTTTATAGCTAATTTAATAACAATCTGGACCTAAATATTTAGATTTTAATTTACTAACAATTTTAATATTAAATTACTATTAAACAAAATACTATTAAATACTTTCTATTAAATATCTTTCAACAAATTTGCAAATATAAAGTATTTTACTGAAAGAAGCTTTGATACTGTTTTTAAAGAATACATGTTATTTTACCAACAATTATTTCACAAATAGCTTAGTTTACTAACAATTAATTTATAGACAATTTCATTTTATCAATAATTATTTCACTAACAGCTTATTTTACCAACAAGTATTTTTTATAAATTACACTAACCTTAATTCTGATTCTAATCTGATACTAAAAACAATAACCAAAATTACTTTGTCAGTAAAATGTTGTTGGTAAAATAATTGTTGGTATAATGAACTTGTTTGTAAATTAATTGTTAGTAAACTAATATTTCAGTAAAGTAATTGTCAGCAGAATGTACACTACTCATTTTTAAAGCAATATAAATTAATAATTATATTACAGAATTTGAAATAAATAAAATAGAAAAAGCAAATAGATATTTGTTTAAAAAATCGTAATAATTTTAATAGAGACCTCACATTTAAAACCAAAAAAAAAATAATTTAAAAATATAAACCAAAAATTTTTAAAAATATAAGTATTATAGTCATACCTCTTTATAATCACACTTTTGAGACCATATGAACTTTTTTTAAAAACGGTCTTGTAAAGAGGTGTGCTTATATAGAGGTCTTTTGTTATATATTAGATAGTAATTGGGCATAAATATAGGTGTGATTATAAAGAGGTTTTTATATGATGTGATTATATAAGGGTAATTATAGAGAGATATGACTGTATACTGTAATTTGTTTTTATTAAAGTGTAATAAACTTATTTATCTTTATTAATATTTTATTAGAAATATAAGCATAAGAATTATTTAGCAATTGCAATTCATAGAATAACTAATAAAGATGGTCTACTGGCACAGCATTCATATGATTTATCTTTCTTTTTAACATAGCAGTTGATGTCAACTTTGCTATGCCAATAAGGCATATGGATGCTGTATTGATAGATCATCTTTAACTAAAAATCCAAAAAATATCTTGATAACTCTATTACTGTGACTTTTATAATTAAACTTTAATTAATAATCCCGAAATACTATTTAATATGTATCAACCACATGATGCATTTATCGAAATAATTCCTAAATCTAATAAAACTAATATAATTATTGCATCAACTTATCTCAAAACCCATCTTTTTTTTTTTAAAGTCGATCTATTTATTTATTTATTAAATATTTTAACTCATATTAACATATTCATCAAATATGAATCATAATTTTTAGGGTAGTATAAAAAGTTACTGTATATAACTGACCAATTCTCAAGAATAATCTAATAATAACACCATAGTTGAGCACTATCTTAATACTAAATAATCGTATTAAGTATATTGAATAAATCCATTATCCATTTATCTAAATCTATACTTATCCGGATATCTATTTACTATTGATATCTGAATAATTCAACAAATATTTAAATAATTATATGGATATCAATAGTAAAACAGATATTTGAATAAATTTAGATCTCCAATAGATAACTAAATAAATGAATAATGGATAGGAACTCTAACCCAGAATTATTAAAGGTTATTCGAATCTTGATAGCTACTAAATAAATATAATTACATAAACACAACAGTTTCAAATTAAACTCAGTTAGCCAATAATGACTTATAAAGCATGTATTATAATCGCACAATAACATTGATATTGAATCATATGATAGGTAATATCATAAAATTTGTTCTGTCAGAACAAATGGTTGCTGAAATATGCCACTGTATAGTACATGTCAATCAACTATTTGCTCTGACAAATCAAATTCATGATATTTATTCATCGTTTGACCAATATCTTATAATTTTCACCAATTAAATACCATTCGGATCTTTTTATAATGGCAGTTTCTGAATTCCTATAGAATTACCAGACTTCAAATTCAATGCTAATTCCTAAATAATAAAATAACCAACTTGGTATATTTTGTTAGAATTTCTTATGCCTGCTGATTTTTGGTAATGCATGAAAAAATTTCAAACCCATTTCATCCTTCTTCACGCCAATTCTATATTTGTAACAAATGGCAGTTTTCTGAATTCTATTAGAACTACCAGCCTTAGCAGACTTCAGATAATTTGTAAATGCTTTATACTTAGCTATTAATTCTTTTTTGCTTATCAAATTCAATGCCAATTCCTAAATAATAAAATAACCAACTTGGTATATTCTGTTAGAATTCCTCATACCTGCTGATTTTCGGTAATACATGAAAAAAATTTCAAACCTACTTCATTCTTCTTCATGCCAATTCTATATTTGTAACAAATAACAGTTTTCCGAATTCTATTAGAACTACCAGCCTTAGCAGACTTCAGATAATTTGTAAACACTTTATACTTAGTTATTAATGCTTTTTGCTTATCAAATTCAACGCTGTGGAACCTGAATGGACCCTGGTCGGTTGGGGGCCATTGCTAAATTAGGGAAGGACTCGATCGCATCCGTCACATCTGTCACATCTGTCGCATACAACTGATCAGTCACATGTGACGCATGTGACGAATGTGACAGATAGCAGCGATCGGTCAGAAGGAAAATATCAGTAGAATACGAATGATCAGTAGCTTCAAAGATATCAGTCGTATCCATCGCATAATGTAAATAAAACTCTTCAATTATAAATAAAGGCCAAGAGGCCCTTTGGGAAGAACAACAATTCCTGCTCTTGACAAATAAAATAATACATTCGCTAATACATAATCTGTTCCTAACCTGTAAACACTAACTTTCATCAATACATTTACCTAATAACCAACCCGAAATCTCCCTGTCCTTAAGAGAACCCGATTAGAATCCTATTAACCACTCGCCAAATCTAACACACCTCTTTCGACTGATATTAACTTTAAGTAGTTATACGACATACCCAATTTGGAGCCACTGACCTGATGATCTTTTACTGTTCACAATTTGGTGGTAACTGTGAGATCCGAAACATTCCTACTTTGAATTATTGTTGCCCTGTCTGGCTGTGGTATCCTAAAGTACTAGGATCAGCCATGGTGACTTGTGTCCAATTATCCGAAGTGCGATAGTCATGGTTATACAATTAGTTCAATTATCTGAAGTAAAGTAATAATTGAGGAGATTGAAAAAAAAATAAGGTTAGAAATGTTAATGATATGAAAGAACTATACCAACAACTAGAATAGATAAATGAAAGACTTACTATGATTAATGCCCAAATCGGAGCACATTCAAGATCCCAACCAATACATCAGAATGTCAGACCAATCTATAGAATAAAAAAGGAGAAGTTAGAAGTAAAAGACCATACGAAGAAAGAAAGGAAAGAAATGTATAGAACTTACCTAACATCCTGGAAACTAGAAGGCAGGATAAGAGAGACTCATTTTCAGCAAGCCCCAAGCCATGAACGAATCCGAAGGCACTTCCAAAAAGAAACCTAATGTCCTTATTGCATGATAAGAAAACATGCTGTTATTAAATACCCAGAAGTTAGAACATTGGAAGAGAAGTGTACTGATCTATTCGAAACACTTACTGACAAACAAGCCCAAGAGTTTCAATGAATTATCAACAAAGCCTTTGGTGATCAAAGCCTTGATGAAAGGCAAATTCCCCAGGCCCTGAAAATTATATTGGAAATGTTAAAAAACATCTCTCTAAATAATAAAGACAAAATAGAGAAAATAGTATACCTACTCCCAAAGATTCAACAACTAACACCTGTGATACTTAATGCCTATACCGATCCTAATGAATTTGTAGAAAAACTTCATGTTACTGAATGTGAAGCTCCTGTACAAAGGTGGGCCCAGGAAGAGGTCCTAGAATCTCTGCTGGAAAGTGGGGTTAAAGAAGAAAAAAATAAGGCATCCAATTATTGCCAAAAACCAGCCAAGATAAATAAAGCAATCAAGAAAAAGGAAAGACAAGGACTTACTGAAAAAGAATCTGCCGAAGCTGAAAGAGATATAATGAATATTGGTGAGGATCATTATGGAATCAGAGTCAAAAAAAATAGACATAAAGCCTTTGGATGCTATCAAAAACCTGCGGAAAGGTGGAATGCTGATGGTGCATATTATGTTGGATCTGGTTATAAAAAGAAAATTGAAGTTGAAAAGGCTGAATGCAAGGACCCTGATGTGCGATGTTTCATATTGAAAAACCTGGATCAATCCTGTGAAGATTGGAATAGAAGGGTTGATGAGTTTAGGAGATTAATTTGAGACGACCTTACAAAGGAATCTGCCAATACCAAAGAAGAGGCACCGAATATTGAAATTGAAGTTGAAAAAAACGATCTTAAAGAACTTGAATGGTATTTGGAAAAGGCTGAAAAGGGTAATTCATATAGACTGTTGATCCTAGACGACCAAAAAGACTCTGCCAATGCTAAAGAAGAGGTACCGAAAATTGGAATTAAAGTTAAAAAAGATGATCCTAAGGGACTTGAATGGTATTTGGAAAAGGCTGAAGAGGGTAATTCGGATGGACTGTTGATTCTAGATGACCAAAAAGACCCTGCCAACGCCAAAGAAGAGGCACTGAACATTGGAATTGAAGTTGAAAAGGACGATCCTAAAGAACTTGAATGGTATTCGGAAAAGGCTGAAGAGGGTAATTCGTATGGACTGTTAATCCTAGATGACCAAAAAGTCCCTGCCAATGCCAAAGAAGAGGCACTGAACATTGGAATTGAAGTTGAAAAGAACAATCCTAAAGCACTTGGATGGTATTTGAAAAAGGAAGACCCAGCTGGACTGAATAATGAACCAATCAAGATGGATCATCAAAGGCCTGCGGATATAGAACATGCAGTTGAAGAGTCCGAACCTGATTTTTATCAGGAACTTGAAGATACAGAAGATGAAAAGAAAGTCAATAATGATGGTGTTAACGATAATGATAATACGATATTTGACTATGATGGAACCAAGATTGAGAAGGATAGAATTGAAGTTGAAAAGGATAAATGTAAAGCCCTTTGACACTCACTAAAGTGTAGACTATGCGTCTTTGATTCTGGTGGAAAAGCCCCGGTGGTTTGACTTTGTCTCATGGAACTCTACCTTAAGTCAGAGAGAAATGTGGAACCTGAATGAACCCTGGTCGGTTGGGGGCCATTGCTAAATTAGGGAAGAACTCGATCGCATCAGTCACATGTGACACATGTGACGAATGCGACAGATAGCAGTGATCGATCAGAAGGGAAATATCAGTAGGATATGACTGAGCAGTAGCTTCAAAGATATCAGTCATATCCATCGCATAATGTAAATAGAACTCTACAATTATAAATAAAGGCCAAGAGGCCCTTTGGGAAGAACAACAATTCTCACCCTTGACAAATAAAATAATATATTCGCTAATACATAATCTGTCCCTAACCTGTAAACACTAACTTCCGTCAATACACTTACCTAATAACCAACCTGAAATCTCCCTGTTCTTAAGAGAACCCGATTAGAATCCCATTAACTACTCACCAAATCTAACACACCTCTTTCAACTGATATTAACCCTAAGTGGTTATATAACGTACCCGATTTTGGAGCCACTGATCTGATGATCTTTTACCGTTCACAACGCCAATTTCTAAATAATAAAATAACCAACTTGGTATATTCCGTTAGAATTCCTCATGTCTGCTGATTTTTGGTAATGTGTGAAAAAAATTTCAAACCTATATTAGCCATTAATGCTTTAAAAAAAATATATTTTTTACATTACAGAAAGAAAGTAAATCTTTAAATACTGTTAAATGCATTTACCTAATAGTTCTTATGCCTTACACAGAACTATTTTATAGATTGTTCAGATCTCTATTGTAATCACCTAAGGCAGCTTGATTACAAGTTTTTAAGAACAGATTAGCTGTTGAAGTAATGTTTTCTAGAAAAAAACTAAAAAAAAAAGTACTTCTCGGGCCTACTTAGCTATATACTATTAGGCTAATAGTAAAAATGTGGCATTAGTAAAAGTTACCTAGGAATCTGATTATATCTGATTAAATTTGCCAGTTGCTAGTAAGGTCAAAGACCAATATTTGCTGAAAGTTATTTGCTCATAAGTGACATATATGTCGACTTGTCATATGAGCGATTATGTTTTCATATAGGGGTACTCTAAAACTAATATAAATAATTGTGTAACGATCGACATTACAGTTGTACCACATCAGCCAATCAAAACAACTTTCCATCATGCTTGTACTAGAATTAGTGTTTTTATTAAAATCATCCTGATCTTGTGATCCAGTGATCAGAATCATATGATCTTGTGCTCATTAGAATAATCTCAGTGAGCTGAATCCAATAGTGGTTGTTTTATCCAATTTGGTTTGATACATCAAAAGTTATGGTTAAAAATGTATAAAACTCTTAATGTTAATAATATCTATACAATATATGCAACATTTGGGATATATACTTACAACACCATATTATTACATTTCTTCAATGAATTAATAATCTTTATTTATTAGGTGTTTCTATCTGTATTGAATTACAACAGTTTCAAAACAACCTTTACTCTACTATAAACATTCTTGAACATCTTCAACCTAATGTTGATAATTAAGATAAACATACTCTTAATTTTAAAATCATCTAACTATTTTTACAAATTGCTATCTTCATTAGAGCTAATTGTTCAGAGCAAAGTAGAGGACACTAAATTATTTGGCATGCAATACAAAAGTTATATTTTTGATGCATTTGGCTCAAAAAATAGTATTTTTTTGATGCATTAATATAAAAATTATAAAATTAACATCAGAAACGCAATTTGGAAATTTTTGTATGTCTGTACACATATCTATATTTGTATTTTAATTTAATACTAATATGCTTATTTCACATTTGTGCAGTATGCTGATCATTATGTATTAGGCTTTGGACACATAATGCTATATATTATCTAGTAATAATACATTATGGCCATACATCATTCATCATCAACTCCAACTTCTTAAACTTATTCTTCAACACCATCCCAAATATACAATCTTTAAAAAACAACTTAGATGACTAAACCTACTTTATCTTAAACAACTTTACACTTCAAACAATACTACACTTCTTGAATAGCTATATCTATCACTAAAACTTCTTTATTTGCCTAAAGGCAAAAAACTGATCTGGTTTACTGAACTTAAAAATCTTATTATAGAAAATCATCACTATCACTTCTTTAAACTTCAATACCAACAGCAAATAACTAACCCTTTCATATATAATATATATAATATTTTTCAAAATATAAACTATGGCTAATTACTTTTAATAATAAAAAAATTATTATAGTAAAATCTATAAACATCTTACAGATTTTAATTAAATATTAATCACATACTGGCAAATTGATATTAATATAAACAATACTGATTACTATTCACTTCAACAAATTAATCATGTTACTTATCCAGGTTGTCAACTTAGCTTATAACAAATAACTACATCATGTATTATTAATACTTTATCTATTACATCTGCCTAATTTTTTGGTAGAATTATTTTAAACTTAGTTAAAATAAATGCAAACTATCTAGACCTTCTTAGCTCTGTTGCAATTAAATGTTCTTTGCCAAATTCTTTACTACTATCATTACCTTTTATTCTTATTTTTAACTCCATCTCTTCTGCAATTTTTGAAACAAGTAATGTAACTAACAAACTTAATCAAATATCTTCTAATAATCTACTATATAACTTATTTAACTTCTATATCAATGGTTCAGTAATTGGTATAAGTACAAATAACTGTATTATAGGTATTGGCTAGGTCTAAGTAGATTTTAATGACCAAGTTATCTACAAATTTACTGCCAAAGTTCACCTCTGGCCATTCTCTTATAAGACTAAACTCTTCTCTATTCTGTCTGCTGTTTCAACTACTTTTTGAAATTCTACAATTAACATCTACTTAGATTTTCAATTCATAATATCAAAATTTATTCAACTTAATTAATTATCTTTTTTTTTTTTTTTTTTTTTTTTTTTTTTTTTTTTTTTTTATATTTTTATAAAAAATTTTTTTATTTAAAATTATAATATTTAATAATTAAAAAATTTAATATTTTTTATTGT